CTTAACAAATTCCAATTTAGCCTTTTATTTTCACACCAAGAATCATTGTCCTGAAAATAATGCCTTACTGATAGGGAATCCTGCAGGGACATTTTGAAAAAAAAATCACAAATTTCTATGGACTACACAAAATCTCAAATAGACTGAACAATAATGTTTTTTGTTTTTTAAAAATGGGCCTTCTCTTTAGGTGCTATAAATCAGCTTGACTATTTTTTACAGAAGGTGATGAATACATGCAAGCTTATACCACCTGAGAATGTGATTCATATTAAGGCCATTGCTTCATTCAAGTATATATGTAGCCCTTTTCCAATTTTTGTTCTGCAAAAATGTTATAACTCTCTGCTATGAGACAGAGTAAGTATTCATATCTAAACAGAACTATTAAAATTGTGTTATGAATAACATTGGAAACAAACATTTGTGGGAGGGAGGCTTATGGTTAAAATGCCTTCACAAAGTAATGCTATGCTGTGGTAGATATCTGGTATTTTGCTGAGTAGCAAAAGAAGGAAAATGATTAAGCAGCTTGGCATTCAGGTTCTTTGACCTGTTAAATACTGATGAATGCCAGAGGGTTCACAGCACAGCAATAAAACAAGGTCATGTAATGCTGTAGGAAATGTTTATGTTAACTTAAAAAGTACATTAGGCTGACTTACATATGCTTCAGGGTGGGTTACATCAAAACTAAAGCAGCAGCCCAAATTACTGATGGAGACTTCTAGAGAGGCGTGCCTTTTAGGCTGATAATTTAAAATTCTTACTAAATAACATTTTAAAATTAAAAATAGAGCTTAGAGGGGAAATACTGACTCTGCTCAAACTATTAAGAGTTTTGCCATTGATTGCAATATGTCTTGGATTTCACCCAGAAAGTGTGGATGAGATGGTCAGGTAATCTTCAGAACACAAAAAGCTCCCCCTATTTTGATCCTATCTAAAATAAATCATCCCCAAACATTTATTTAAAAGAGCTCAGACTACAAATCCAGTTGATACTTGTTAAGGAAAATTCATTAAATTAGTGGCACACCCTTAATCTTCTTCCCTTTTCATAGAATAGGGCCAGAACATCAGTGCATAATTCATTCTCACTCAAGGCTTCATCTCATGTTTGCTCTACTGCAGAAATTTCTCCTAAAATAATACTACTGCTAAAAGAATATTATTGCTAAAATCATCCTCTCTTTCTTACTAAAAACACATCTACTGGTGTCCCTCCACTGGCTTCCCCTTATTCTTAGAATCTTTGCAACAAATAGTACACATTCCCCCTTACTTCTAATGTGAATTTGACACAAGAAAGCAAACAGAACCTCTATATGTCCCACAATAAAGAAAGCTTGCCCATTTTTTTGCTGTTAGTTTGCTTGTATGTTGCACTCATATATCTTACTTCTGTATCTTTAGAATGAATATAGTCAGTATAGGGACTGTTCGTATGTCTGTATTTATACAAAACCCACTACAATCCCCATTTGGACCTTTGGCTACTGCCATAATAGAAAAGCCACAACAGCCCTAATAATTTAAATCAGTAACTTGGTCACTGGTTAATAAGCTATGAATGCTGCAAAGTAGTGAGGGTAAGAGTGGGAGGAAGGGAAAAAGATAGAGAGTGACATAAATTGTACCCTTTCTGGATTGTTTAAAAGCTGTGGCCAGTCCTGAGGTAGAAAGCTTGACATGGCTTTTAGAAGATATCTGTGGACAAACAGTTTCAAAGCTGAATTCTCAGAAATACTGGACTGGCTATATAACAAGTAAAACTTGGAGCTACAGTGTTTACTAGTTGGGAAATAATTACTATATTAAATTTTTGTATTTTTATGTAGCCTTTAGATTACAAAATAGCTACAGTTACAGATATATATTATTCAAATTATAACTGAAAGTAGTGCAACCCTTGTTTAAATAGTGGTCTGTATGACCAGCTACTGATATTTTTATTGGATGAACCTTTAATGTAGGTTCAGATGGAATATTCTTTCAGTGAAGACTTCTTTTCTCACAAAACAGCTCAATTATAAATGGAGAGAGTTACTGTATCTAGATTTGCAAATTCAGTGCTTCTCTGATTAGAACAAATCAGGATTTACATACTACAGTATAAGGGTGCCTAGACACTTTTAGGGGATGCACTTTAACTCATGGCAATTTACACAAAACGCCATGAGTTAGAGCCCCGCAACCCAACAGATGTTTGCCTGTTGGGTCAAGGGAGCTCAAGTCTGCCTGCACTGGCCCTGGCCAAAGGTGGGGGCACTCCAGCAGCTTCCGGGGAGACTGTCAAACTGCCCCTCTCCCCAGCTCTGGCCACCCTGGGGCTGTCAGCAGGGGAGGGAGGGGGATGGTAAGGGAGTAGCATGCAGCTGCTGGCTGGACCTTGTATGCCCAGAGCTGGAGATGTGGTAGCATGGGGTGGAACACAGCCCCCTCAGCTCAGGGGCCTCCCCAGCTACCCTGGCTGGGGTACTGGGGGGAGCCAGGCTGGGCCAACAAGGCAAAGAGGCTCCCTTCTCCCATCTCCCACCTGGACCTCTTAACAGTAGCACTACCAACAGCTGGCTCAGCTTTCCTGTGGCTGGAGCTGGGCGTTGGGCAGGATGGAATTGAACCCCCCCATCTCACAAGCCCAGCCTGACTCCCCCCCAGTATTCCAGCCAGGGTAACTGGGGTGGGGTAGGGGCAACGAGGCAAGGGTACTCCATTCCACCACCACCACCTCATCTCCAGCACTGGGCAGGCAAAGCCCAATTGGCAGCTGTGTGCTGTTTCTTTCTCCCTCCTTCCCCCCTCCCTCCTCCCTACTGACAGCTCTGGAGAGAAGCAGAAAATTAACTCTTGATGGAACACAAGTTCCCTAAAGCACTCTGCTCTATAGTGTCTGTCTTCAGCTAATACCTCATTTATCGAGGGTTAATTTTTCATGTGATCAGCCATTTTGAGTGTTCAGCCGTGCATATGTGTTATGTCATGGCTGAAGAGCGCTTTCAGGGGGCTGATCACATGAAAAATGTAACTTGTGTAAGTGCCCTAAGTGACACTTCACTCTATCTGCACTTGATAGGCCAGGGCTGGACTTGATGGCCCAAGACACTGTTTCCAGTCTGATGTTCCTATGTTCCTTGTAGTGATAGATTATTGAATCTTCTGTAATTAAAAAGTGAGATTAGAAATCATTATTGAATAATTGTATATAAAACACTTTTCTAAGTGTCTTATATACAATATATATGTAGTATAAATCAGAACAGTTTCATGACAATGTGTTAAGGATCTGGTTCTGCAGAATTATTCAGACCATACCCCTCTAGGAGTTTCTTCTATGGACCATTGCCTGTATCAAGAGTGTAGGACTGTGCCCAGATGAAGCATGATCAATACATCATAAGAACTTTCTTTTGGATGGAAAGTATGATAGGGTAAACAGAAAAGCAGTGGGGAAATTCAGACCGTTATAGTTTTGTACCATATATAAATTCAGTTTAAAAACAGCTCAAAGGGAGAACAAAAATAATCCATCTTGAAAGTGGTAAGTATGAACTTGAAAGCACTCAAGCCAGCCAATGTTATCTTTTAAACTAGCTTGGATGAGTAAATCATCTTAAATGTATTGCGTTTCATCCACAGATGAACTGGTGAGGGGAAATCCCTGGTTCTAGAGGCTGCAGTTTCTGTGTTCACAATGTTATTAATAAAATACCTGAGTGTCTCTGCTGGTAGAATTATATTTGGCAGCTGCTTTTGAAACCCTTGATCATGAGGTAGTCTTAACACAGACCTTCATGGGGGTGAATGGACTGGTTCTTCATGGGCTTCATTCTCATCTCTCAGAGAGGGCAGTTTTGGGCATTTCCTCCTATTCCTGAAGAACTCAAGTACGGGATGTCACAGGAGTTCCGTCACCCCTTTTGTTTAGCATGTCTGTTCTGAAGGTAGAAGGAGGAGAAGGAGTACATCTCCATCTTGTCTGTCTCTGTCTCTGTCTCTACTGTTTGATTTGGATGATGTAATTCAGTTTTTTAACCAGTGTCAATTTTGGGGCATGTATGAGAATAGGTTAGCTGATCCTCAGCACAGCTCAGTAGGAGGTGATGATGTTGGGGAAGAGGAGGAGATATGGTGAAGATAATATTGCCTCTTTGACTGAAAGAATGTGTCTGCCACAAGTAAATGGTATCTGCCATTTGAGGTGTGATTTAAGACCCCCAGTTTCTGTTTGATAATCCTTTAATACCAATAATCTATTTTATTTTTTACCATTTAGATCTGTCTGGAAGATTGCAACTTTTCCTTTCAGATGTGGACATTGTCACTGTTACCTGTGGTTTTGTTGCCTCAAAATTAAATTATTGCAATGTGTTCTACAAGGATATGTGTCATAAAATCATTTGATTACTGCATACATAGGTTCGCTTACTGATTGGGGTATCTTGCTGGGAGTACATAAGCTCAATGATCTAGGATTTACTGTGTCTGCCCCTTGTTCTTTGTATGAGTTTAAAGTGTTGGTAATAACCTGTGAAATTATAAATGGGCATGGACTGCCTTTCCAAAAAAAACTACCTCTCTCCCACTACCTTATTACCATAGCTGCAGTCTCAAGTGGCACTCAAACTGGAGCCTCCTAAAAGAGAGGCTTTAGGACTTGGACTTGTTCCTCTGGCTCTATTGGTCTTGGAGTTAGCCTTACCTTAGCTTGATATTGATCACATTCCAGGCATGCCGCAAAAGACTTGGAGAAGGCTGAGGTTTGATGATGAAGGTGATTGTCTGGCTGAACTCCTGTGGAAGCAGTGTAAAGGCTGCTGTAGGTTAATGTAATCCTATTTATTGTATGATTATATTATGGTGTCTAAAACTTAGGATCGATATCTTTATTTTTCTAATCTCACCAAAAAATTTTTTTAAAATTAAAAAACCCTGAATGCCCTCCTCCCCCGCCTGCCCCAGAATCAGTTAAAAAAAAATCTGTTCTCTTCTTTTCCCAGATGTCTAGTATCTGCCGGACAGCAGTACATGCTGGAGTGGTTCCCAACCAAGGAGGCTATGTTGATGTTATGCCAGTAGACAAAAGGAAGATGTACATTGCCTCCTTTCAGAATGGAATATTTTCAGAAAGGTATGAAACCAAGTTTAAAAATCTCTTGTTTAACCTTCACCTAGTTATACATTCCATCATTTACAATCTTGCATTATATCTGTTTGTACTGGAAGCTGTGCTTGGAAGCTAAATGAATGGACTAACATGGGTGATTTACCAGGCTTGTGTAACAGTTACAGTGACTGTGGAGAAGCTGCGGTACCAGAACTGCCTGTCTCCTCTAAGCTTGTAAATCGCAACCCTAAAAAGCTGCTTATAAGTTAAAATAACTCCCTTGTTTATTGATCCTGGCACAAATAATATAATATTTGATAAGGAAATTACTTTTACTTTCTTAAGAGTTTTTTAGATTAGTGATTCATTCAGGTCCTAACTGGTAAGTAGGGTTTGGAAAAGCCAGATCCTACTTGCCTTTTATGGCACAGCTCTTAATTCTTATGGTGTGGGCAGAGGAAGGTTTGTGGACGTTTCAAAAGGGGAATGTTTCATCTACTTGTGGTATGTGAATGAGCTGAGAGTGATTCAAATGCAGCAGATTTACTGCACCTTTAACACTGTTTCATCCAGGATTAAAATTAGAATGGGTTTGCTGCATTTGAATAGCTTACAACTCATTCATATATAACAGAGGTTTCCAACCACCAGGCCACGGCCTGATTCCAAGGCACAAAGGGCTGGCTGCTGGGTCGTGGCATGAGCCCCTCGCTTGGATGGACATCATCTGTCCACCTGGACGAGTGGCTTCCGGAGCGTGCGGGGTCAAAGGTGGGGTGGAGCAGCCCCAGGAGGGAGGTAACTGGCTCCCTGTACCCCGCCCCTGCTCCCGGGCAGGTCCACAGGACAAAAAGGTTGGGAATCACTGACATAGAACAACTAAAACTTACCAGTTGCTGGCCTTTTAAAAGTTCACCCTTTGAAAAGGCTCCAAGCAGTTGTGTGTTCACAGAATTAATTTTTTGCAGATCCTTTTTCCTTGAATTGGTGAGCATGGTTCTCAAATGACATTGGCCATAGATTAATCTAAATTCCCATTTTAGCTTTTCATATTATTTGATTGTTTTTAATAACGATTTCTCTAAGATGCATAGTGTGTATTGGAGAGTCTCTTAAAATATTTTCCATTATGAAGTACCTGCTATCAAGTTGATGGTGATGGTGTCTGCCTGTGCTTTCTAGTTCTAGGAACTTTTTCTAGGTTCTAACAGAAAAAAAGTGGTACTGACTACAAAATCCATGGTGTATACTATACAGTACTGCAAAGTGAATAGTTGTTGTTATTTTGGAAGTTGCAGACAGCAAAGAAACAGATTCTTCCTCAGGGGAGTCACAGAGTTGGGTTTTGATCTATAACTCAGGGAGGGGCTTGGCTCTATAAACTTAATGAGAAGCTGATCTCAGGATGTCAGGAGACCTAAAGCAGGTGGAACCATTTCCTAAGAAACTCAGTGGGTGTGTCGACACATGCGCCTGACTGTATAATTGTTACTGTGCAGTCATTTAGTACTTATATTTTTTTGACTAAAAGTTTTCAATCTTAGCTTTGTTTCTGAATTTAAATATTCATTTTAGGTAATATGGGGTATTTTTCTTAGGGCAGAAAGTTCTAACATTCTAATAAATTAAACCAAACTTAATGTCATTCAATTGAGTGCAAGAATAATGTAGGAAACTTGGCAGTGGTTTCAAGAGGAATACAAGTAGACCTTTTATCAAGATTCCCTAAAAAGTACCCACAATATAAGTCACATAGCAAAATAAACCCTGAAGATGCATTGTTGATACTTTACACAGTTTTGGAGGACTACCTTCAGGTCAGAATTTTCCAGATTGGGGCCCAGGTGTCTAATCAGCGTCTTAAAAATAATGTCTTGGATTTTTGTTTTCAGTTTGCAGAATCCTCCAGGAGGCAAGGCTTTCAGAATATTTGCTGTTGTTTGAGTCCAGTGAGAGAGAAATCCAGACTAAAACCAGAGCACTTGGAAGAGATTAAAGATTACTTTGTGTACTTTCTAAAGTTTGTATAAAGCTGTAACTTTATTGTACAGAAGATATCAAATATTATCTGCCAAAAAAATCAATTACATATAACCTGAATGGGAAAAAAATCTGTAAAATTAAACATGGGAGAAAAATGCATTTGGAATGCTGTAATGATATATAACAAGTTTTTGAATCCTGTGTTAAATATTGCTATATTTTCTTAGCAGTTATTCCTATACAGTTAATACAAAGCTCATAAAAGATCTAAATTTTCTTATCTGAATATATTATTGTATGGTGCTTTATACATTCCACTAACAATAATCTTTAAACTATGCCAGAGATTTTATATCCACTGTACATAAAAAATAGCCATCCTTATAAACTGATGCAATAACGTAATTTTTTTTTGTTTTACAGTAGCATATAATTATTAATCATGCCCATGCAAAAGGAAATTTGGAATGTTTAAAATGTTACACCAATTTTTATTCTAATAGCAATTTAAAAAAAAATTGGAAATGAAAAGTCCTGGGACAGATGAAAATATGATCCTTTAAATAATAGACCATTTACATTTTCTTTATTTTCAAAATTCAGTTTGTTAAAATGTTATTGGATGCTGCTAACTTGTTCAGAATGAATAATCAATCACCAAGGGCCTGCTTGTCAAGCATATTTTCTGTACCAACCTCCTAGTGGAGTTAATAGTCACCTAAATACTTGTGAGGATCTAGGCCCCAAAAGGCCATTTTCACATTGAGAGATGGAGTAAAATGAAAGCTAAGGATTATGCTCTTGATTCTGCAAACTTGCATGTGGTTTATAGAGCCATGTGACTGGCTGTAATTGACTTCAAGTCATGCATAAATATTTGTAGGTTTGATGCCTTAAATGTTACAACGTATCCGTATACTGTACATAGATTTGAGGGTGAACGGTTAACACAATGATCTGTTAAGAAAATGATCTTTTCTTAACAAAAAACACAATCTGTTAAGAAAATGATAACAAAGACTAATCCCCTTTGCTCCTTATAACCTGGCAAATACTCCTGCAGGCCGGGATGTATAGTGGAGCTTAATGAAGATGAACTCATTTATTGCTTCATCATTTCTTTTGACTTCATTTATGGTGAACAGTCTTATGCATTAATTTTACCATGTTATGGTATATGAAGAACATGTAATGGTGATACTATATTTCTTTCTATGAAAAATGTAATGTGCTTTAAGACTGAAAAGCTGTTAAACTTTATTTTTGGTATTTTTGTTTCTGCTGGTGAATTTATTATTTCTTTCTAACTTGTAAACTTATTTGATATTCTTCATATTTCAGAGTCTTATTTTCTGCCCTTATTTTCTTATTTTCTTTGTTTTGCTACATGTACTACCTCATGTAGTTAGGCAAGCTTTGTTAGTTTTGTAATCCATTTTGAATAAAATTAGTTTACGTAGTAACATTAAATTTGGGGGCCTTTATTTTTTTCCACAGGAAATGTGTGTTTATTCTAGCTCAAGTAGAAGAACACCAGCCAGATGAAGTTTACTTTTTTGCTGACCAAAACATTGTAAGTGGTTTTTTGGACATAGCTACAGACACAGGTTGTGGTTTTAAAAGCTGAGTAGGTGGTTTGTCTACACAGTTCCCATTAAGTGCATGGGGAGTTGTATGAACATATTCTTTAGTTGGCTGTGAGTGCTTCATCCAGGATATTTGGGAGTAGACTGTTTTCGTATCTTTACACCAAATTCTGTATCAGGACACTGACTTTGTTAACAGCCACTGTTGTAGTCAGCCCAACTTCTTCAATGTTCTAATAGCAAGGAGGCCCTCACAAGAAATAATACCATATTTACTCAAATATAGGATGAGGTATTCTCCCCCATTCAAGATAGGAGGAAAAGCCCCTTGTCTTATACCTGCATACAAGGAAACTTCACTAAACACATTGACTATCATTAAATTGCTGCCAAAGGTAGTATGTGCTCAATAATGGAAGCCAACAATAAAGTTGATTAAATGCAGCCAGCACTGAGCATTACTATATAATATATAGGACAAACATACTGATAGGAACCTTTTTTTTTATTTTGGGCCTTAAAAAAAAAAATGGGCAGGTGTTCTTTCCATAAGGAACTAGCCTGGAGGTACTGCAATACCTGGCTGGCACTGTGAGGGCCAGAGCCAGCAGATTTGGATGAAAACAGTAGGGATGGTAGCCCCTTCTGAGTGCATGAGGCCTGCCAAGTTTCAAGGGATTAAATGCAGGATTTTCTGGGAAACTGCACCTCAAACCGTTCAAAGCAAAACTCGTGACATGCAAGTTCATGTGTGTGTTAAGGCACAGCGGGATAAAACCAGCAGGGATGGTAGCCTGTAACAGAAACAGCTCACAAAAGGGACAGAAAGGCTACAGACACAAGCTTATGTGCTATTTCTATGTTCCTCTTGCACAGCACTGTGATTGGAAGGGGACTCGAGGAAAGATCACAGTCACTGGCCAGCTACAGCTGTTAGTTGTTCCTCCCCCACTTCTTAGTTTCTGTTTCCCTGCTTTCTGCTGCTGCTTTGCCTGGTCTGGCTGCTTTCTATCTTCTTCCCATTGCTTTTCTTCTGGCTTGCTCTTCCCTGTCCAGTTTCAACTGCATTTGCTTTTGCCTTTGGTTTGATGCTTCATTGCACCAGCTTCCAATTAGGTTCCAGCTCTTGGTCTGAACCTCTGTATTCGTGACTCTGCTCCATCTGGTCTCTTCTCTCCATCTCCTATCTGTGCTTCTCTGCTTTCAGTTCACCAGCATTCTTGGCTGCTGCCATCTCGCTGCTCTCAGACAACCTGAGGCAGGGGCAGAGTCCATGAGAGGCCGAGAAACAATATACTGATGGGAACGCTTTTTTCTTTTTTTGGAAAAAATATAGCGTGTGCGCCTATCTATATATAGACACACACACACACCATCCAACATAAGCTTTTCTGCACACACCTTAAACTGCATTTAAAGCCTGCATATCTATTACAATAGATGCACACATGCTTCCGCGTACCCATCTGCAGTCCTTTCCCTTACAGTCTCTTAGTTCTCACTCTGAAGTTGGAGTTTACATTCTCAGCTCATTCACTGTCCTTGTTGCTGTCACTGGTGCTGTTTCTTCTGCTGCTGCTAACACTGCTGCTGTCATTGTCACCATCTTGATGTTCATTTGTGTCACTGTCATCTTCATTATCTCAGAGTGTCTTTGAACAGCCTTTGCCAAGTGTCCCTGTGCGAGGTGGAGTTGGCTGCCTCTTCTCCATCCTTTCCCACTGATTTCTGGTAGTAGAACTGGAGTTCACTAAGAAACATTTTAACACAGTTTGTTTCCTTGAGCTCCATGTGTCTGTACATCATTAGGTTCCTGCATTTCCACAGGGCACTCCTGATGCAGGACATGAACTGGTTGAAGCGGGTTGTCGGGGACCCCTGATGTTTAGTCAGGTGTCCGTACAGTGCTACCTCCCTCATTATTGCCTGACTCCTGTCACCTCTTCGTGTAACTGGTTTACCTTTTTCCAGGCACCCTTGGCATAGGGACAGAGCCATAGGAGGCGGCTGATGGTCTCTCTTGCACCTTGGCAGATTTCTCTGGGGAAGTTGGGTCAAGTCTCTCACCCCTCTATGTGTCTCCATGCCCTCACTGGGAGTGCACAGTGAGCTATTAGTCAGTTCAAGTCTCTGTGGTCCTTTCATAGGTCCTTGTGGAAGATCTGGTCTCGGACTGCCTAGCAGTCATCTTCAGGGAGCAGCTTCATGGTTGATAACCTGTCTCCATCTCTGACTGCCTTCTGTATCTCCCTGTGGTTGGAAATAGTCACCGGGCTTTCCTTTTGTAACCTGTACTCACTCCAGAACTTGTTCGGGACCCTATAGAACCAGGGGTGTTCCATGGTCCACGGTCTCCCATTGGTTGGTGCACTATCTCAGGAGGTGACCTGCAAAATACTTCACAAGACAGGCTGTTTTGGTCTCTGGCCCAGTCACCAGCTTGCAGATCTGGTTTGTATACTGTGCCTGCAAGAACGGGTGGATGTCTAGCATCCACCTGATCCCAGATTCATTTCTTCTTGTATAGGGTGTTCCTTGTCACCTTCTCCATTCTGGATCCTCAGAAGAAAACACACATGGCTCTCTGGATTCTGTGGATGATACACTTTGGAGTGGGGAAGATCAGTGTGGTGTACACTGCAGTGAAGCACTGGTAGCAGCACTGGTTTTGGGAGTGCCACGCCCCCCCATGGAGAGGTGGCACACGTGCCACAGACCCAACCTCTGCTTCACCTTGGCCTCCTTTTTCTCCCAGGCCATCCTTCTGCTCAGCTCAGGTTTGAACTCCAGCCCAAGGATCTTGACCCCCTTGTGGGGAACCAAAACCCCCAGGGACTCCAGGTCCCCTGAGCTTGGCCCCTGCTGCCACTTCATAGACCTGTGTGTGCCACAGGGCTCTTTCTACTGAACACTTATTCTGGCATAGAATGTTCAGGTCATTCATGTAGGCCGTTACCCTGGTCTATTCCCTTCTTCCTCTGGGTATCTGGACTTCGCTTATCTCAGGGTCCTGCCTGATGTGCGGGGCCAGGGGTTCAATGGCACAGATGAACAGGGTCAGGGAGAGCAGGCAGCTGATGGGAAGGATAGATCAGTGCACCCCATCTGAATAAGATATATGGAGGTGCCCATTGCGCTCAGTCCCCCACAGTGTTGACTCTCAAATCATGATGTACCACTACACTAAATACATTTGACCTTCCTCTTCATTGTCACAGCTGAGCTGCACCTTTCTTCCCCGTTTCCAATGAGTCCTCTTTTTTAGCCAGCCTTAAATGTCTGGCAAACATCACCAAATGGGGCCCCAAATAGCTTACCCATAATTCATCTGTTACCCCCACTCTCTTAGCCTTGTGCATAGGATTAGTGTGGCCCTGGGCTCCATGAGATGCAGCTGGACCAGGTAGCCCTGCACCCCTTCTGCAAATAAATTTTTGGAGATTCCCAGGACTTGTGAAAAGAACATCTTCATCCAGTCACAAGTGGGGGTTAATTAGCACATG